TCAACGTTAAGTTGAACTGTGTCACGTAAAGTTGTACTTCAATATCCATTACTCATTTTTCAGAATATTTGTTTCAATTACGCCTGAACTGAGAAATTTTTCTTAATTATTCGAGTATTGGTTCACCAGTAAAGTGAAAAACTGCAATTCAATAGAATTCACTCAACCCTTAAAAATTTGCATGCCTCGAGAAACAGATGAACACTTGTTGATAATTTATGTGCGTTTAATTTTAATTTCTCTTAACATAGCAAACATTTTGCTGAGCAACAATCAAATTAATTCCAGCACAAACTAAAATATTTTCACCAAAGGAAAATGGACACTCTGAGTCTGCCTTTCAGATAAAACATATCTCTAACTTAGAAGACGTCTTGCAGGGCAACAATAAAATCAATACGTTTGAACAAATATTTTCACACAAGCAAAACGAAGGAGGCCAGCCTGCCCCTGAGGGCAGCACCGATCAAAGGCGCCAGGATGCGCGGAGACATCAATTGACAAAGCAAGTTGTCCCGCAGCCACGGACGACAGAGCGTCGCGGGTCTGTGACAATTGAAGGCAAGCAAAGGCCGGGCAGGTGAAGCTTGGCCGACTGATGTAATAATTATTGTGCTCCTCTGGCCCGCTCGAGTGGACCCTGCAGATGGAGTGGCGCGGCTGCTCTTTACGGTGAGTGGGCTCACGAGGAAGTGGATCCAATTGCATAGAAGTAAATGTTCTAAACACGAAAATTTAGTGGAGAAATAATAACACCTTCATAAGCACATTGGATGGCGGCCAGGCTACATCAGTGCCACCCAGCAACTGCGTCTATTGTACACCAGACGAATGCGTGTAGCGTCACTCGCAACTGTCGTTCAAAGCTCGCCAGTTTTGAGCGCCTGATGCCGTTCATCCTATGCAGATCGGATCAGCTGGACGGCGATCATTCCAACAGAGTCTGGCTTGATTCCCGGCGCTGCACAGCGACTATTCCCATTCCCAGATCAGTCCAAATCACGAATGGAAATGGGTGATAAAGCAGTCGACTTGCCACCGAGAAGCAAGCGGTCTTTACAGTCGTCTCCTGCGCCTCTAAAATTTACGGGAAAATTGCTTCGAATAGGGAAGTCTACTTGCTAATTTTAGTCTAAAAATTCCTTTTCTGAATATCCGTAATAACATTAGATCATCTTTCTTCTGGTTATTCTTTATTACTATTATTATTCTTCTCTCAATACATCACAAGATTTACGTGCTCCCCGAATCATAAGACGCCCTAATGCCAACCTCCGAATCCTAGGAGGCCCCTAATTTGGAGGCTCACGTCTCTAAATTATGCTAGTGTATCACCCTAAGTAGTTTTCAACTCATCGACAAATTACACAATATGGCCTCACTATCATTTTAATTGTGAAGCAATGGTTCATGTATATTGGATTCTCAGTTAATGCTTTTAACATGAAAGAAACTTCGACAGTGTCGTATGAGCAAGCATGCCGACTCAAGAAGTCTCTGCTAAGTTTTTGCACGGCAGCTATCGGGCCCAGACGCAGGCTGGGCGGAACTCGAGATTTATTGTACTATAGTCCATTGATAGCAAACTGCTGGTTTTTTTACCGTTCAATCCTTGCATTGACGGAGGATGAGGATGGGTTGATGCTTTAAACTATAACTTTCAGAAGAGTGATTTGAATCTATCAGGTTATGCTTTGGAGGTGTTTTTAATGATGAGAATTGAGTGGCGATTCAAGAAAATTTTGACGATTCTATATTTGATTAACTCGATTAGATTATTCTAAGCCGAATTCAAAATATTATGAGATGTCTCAGAAAATTTCTCATAATTTTGTTACCTTTGCGATTGATTCGTCAGAAATTATTTATGTAAGTCTCTAATTAGAGAAAAAATGGACAATGTAACGCAATTAACTAAGGTTGTCAAATTTGTGCGTGAAATAATTTAGCGAATGATTTAATTAAGGTGTAATTGAAGAGGTTGGCAAAAGGGTGAAATATTTATCTAAATTTATTTATTACCAATTGGTCAACAAATGTTCATTAAGAATATTTCCGAAACCTTTTGGTTTCATGAACATTTTAGAAAGTTTAAATGCCGTTCGATATTGTTAGTATGTTTTCCTTGGCATCACCCCTTAGTTTCATCTTTATCTCCAATATACTTCACTTGTACAAGTTCGTTTTTGTGATGAATTTACAGACTGTATACCTACAATTTTCGTCTCAATTGACAGTGCAACTGTCAGTATTTATCAAATGTTCATTCTCAAGAGCAGCTGATAACTCAGAGACCAATAGCTGAACTGGAAACAAAGCAGCACGATAATAAAGTTGGCACGTAACTGCAATGCATTACTACGCATTCTCTTAACCTTGCTGCTTCATTTCCAGTTTTTCTCTCTCCCGAGTTTAGGGAGGCCAGCTCGCGCCTTGTGTATAGATCGCCGCAGTCACGGCTCTTGTTTACACAGATAACCGCTAGGACCCTGCATACCAAGCGTCCCACTCTACGGCTACGTCTCGCCAGGCTCTGCTGCATGCGTTCATTGCACCGCATACGAACCTGCTTCACGAAACTTTAGCTCTATTGAATCGAATTAATATCATTCGTAATATGTACAATTTTGGGCTAAAATGTATTTTTGCATAAAATTTTTATTTGGATTTTTACGAAAATAATATATTGATGTTCATTCGGTTTCGTCCAATTTCAGCAAATTCACAATTGTGTTTCCTACGTGTTAAGTCTTCAGAGCTTTTGGCCTGCTCTGTAATCAACTGAGCGAATTTCAGGCGCTTAAATGCATTTTTACGGCCTCCATTGGCCGTTTTAACGGTCAATACAAAGAATTTTGCCTTTCAACGGCCAATTTTTTCGTTTGTCAGGAGGGTTTGAATTGACGCAGCATGTTAATGCGATCCTTTAGTGTTGGACCACAATTGACGCAGCATGTTAATGCGATCCTTTAGTGTTGGACCACAATTGACGCAGCTTGATAATGAGATCCTCTAATGTTGCCACCACAATTCATTCTGCAGAATCTTGGAGGGTGGGTAATTTTTGATGGTTAATCATGAGTTTTAGCGTTTGAGCGCTATCTTTTTCAGACATGAAATATAAAGTCATATGAGAAAAATCTTATCTATTATTTCACCGAACAATTATAAACTAATTAGTTCGATAGCTATGAATTATAACTCATTCACTTAAACGATGAATTCATTATCATTTGAATGACAATTTATTTTACTTTTTAGTGTCGAATTAAAATAAAATACTTGCCTTAAAAAGGCATCAATTAAGATGGGAAACTCTAGTCCTCTCGGACGGTATCGTAAGTCCTGCTTCACTGAAGAGCTCACTTAACTCGTCCGTCCGTTAATGTAAATAATGAGCGGAAGATCGGTGGCCACAAATGGACCATTTACGGCCATCCATAAATCGCCCAGAAGTTCCAATTGTGACCTACCGGTACACAGGCCCTACTTACGTAAAGGTCAAGCTGTGCTTTGCAAAAGGTTATCAAAATGCTACACCGGCCTGCTACAAAGAGCCTGTCTGGTCGGTCTTATCCAGCAAAAGGTTAAGTTGGGTTTCCCTCTTTTAGATTTTTTTTTTTTTGAAACTTGGAGAGCGTCGTTAGCCGGATCTTCTTCGTAAAGGAAACGAGAGATGACTTAGATGTTCACTTTGAGAAATGAAAACTTTTTGATTAAAGAAAGGCTTATTAGGACCAGAACACATGGTGGTCAATGAGTTCTTTGTGATCCTGGCGTGCGGGAAGCTTTCTTACTGGCCTTACTGTGAGCACTAGAACGTTAGAGTTAGCTTGTTTTCCTCTCGCATCGGAAAATTAACCTACAAAATGCTTGAAATAAATTCAAAACTGAGCACTCAATTGGTTAGTTTGATCCTATATACGTAGATTAGTCAACGGTCAATTATTCGCGAATAAATGTTAGGAAATAACAGAACGTGTATTAAAGTCAAAAATGTATTTTCAGTCTTTCAGGCAATTGGATTATTTATTCAGGTTTAAGTTCCATTTCAAAACATTAATCATTCTAACAATAAAACAAGCTGCAGTGCATGCATGAGTAAATAGTTCCCAAGCAGAGCTCTTGCACTCAGCGATGCGCACTTCCTCCAAGTCGGAGAATTAATTTTAACGAAATTTTGTATTTTATAAGTCTTGCACAAATACTACCTGACAAGTATCTTTTAAATCCTTGCACGTAAAATAGAGGTTTAATAATTATTCAATAAAAATTATCTTATACGACATTCAATTTCGCGTTATTGCCCCAACAACGAGACCAGCTCGATCAGTGTGTGTATGAATTTACATTTATTACTTGATGAGTACAGCTGAGGGCGCTGATGCATCGTTTGCATCTGATCGGGCAGGTGAGTTGGAGCCCAGTCGATAAATAAATAATATGAAAATAAAGCTGTCAGTAGTCCAGACTTTTATGTATGGCCGTGTGATAAAAATTATCGCCATTAAAAAAGGATAAATAAAACTGAAATAAATGAACATAAATAATAATCTAAACAATCTATCAGTAAATGAAAACCAAAATCAAAAGCGTGCGCTTTTTTTCGGCCAAATATCGATTCCCAATTATGATCGATCTACTAAAGTCCTTTTTTTCGTAGCCTTTCTGCACATACAAAACGAAAACACAGACTTAGCACCAACGAAATAAGTAAACTAATAGACGAATAAATATAGCACGGATGACATAGTGAAAATAAAAGAATAATATAGCTAACATTATTCACTGAAACATTAATAAAAACATTACTTAAACACCAGGGCACAGACAACACAAAAAATAACCAAGTACCTCTGTGATGGAATCACAATACGAATTCATACCGAGTTCAAGTTAGAAGTTACTAAAACCTAAATGAGAAATATTAATCTAATGTTTACAAGAACATTGCATCCCCTAAAGTGCATTAATTGCATCTGAGTGTGCAGGTGCATCACGTGCATCTGAGTGTGCAGGTACATCACGTGCATCTGAGTGAGCAGGTGCATCACGTGCATCTGAGTGTGCAGGTGCATCACGTGCATCTGAGTGTGCAGGTACATCACGTGCATCTGAGTGTGCAAGTGCATCACGTGCATCTGAGTGTGCAGGTACATCACGTGCATCTGAGTGTGCAGGTGCATCACGTGCATCTGAGTGTGCAGGTGCATCACGTGCATCTGAGTGTACAGGCACATCACGTGCATCTGAGTGTGCAGGTGCATCACGTGCATCTGAGTTTACAGGTACATCACGTGCATCTGAGTGAGCAGGTGCATCACGTGCATCTGAGTGAGCAGGTACATCACGTGCATCTGAGTGTGCAGGTGCATCACGTGCATCTGAGTGTGCAGGTACATCACGTGCATCTGAGTGAGCAGGTGCATCAAGTTCATCCGTTTTCTGTAGGCACATCATGATTTTTTTGTACCGGGGAGACTGTATCCGCTCCAGGTTTTGTGGCCGCCTCGTGTATCGAGTTTGGGGCAAGGAAACACAAGCGTTTGTCTGTTGACTTTCCTCATCGTGCAGCTTTTGCAGAAACTCAAACTCAACTCGGCCGAGAAGTTAAATATGTTACAACGGATTCCCGGCAAGCCGCTGCTCCAATTATTGCAAGTATGAGAGGCGCTCCTAGAGATAACTTGAACAATTGCATCGCCCCGCACAACTTCTGGAGGCTCAGATTTCCACAGCGTCGGATTTTTTTATTTGAGGTATTGTTGTTTTTTATCGTTGTCTAGTATTTTTTATTATTATTTTGTGGTATTATTGTTTTTTTTAATAGATTGAGATGAAATTTTCAAGATATTCTCTGGCTTTCTTGAATATTTTTCATCAATCTTTCCTCAATAAAATCAAACATATGTATTGGGGTCGTGGACAAGATTTTTTTACTTAATACGAGTGCAAATCTTCAAATTTCACTACTTCAATTACATAATTGTACGAGAGTTTGTACAGAGTTTACGATAAAATTACACTCGGGATGTGTCGAAAAAACTGAATTTACGGAACAGCGGTCGAAATTAATTAAACCATTATGACTAATTATGACTAATTAGAAACTACCGTCATTACGATGAACCTCCGATGCGTCATCACAAAAATCTACGCGAGAGACAATGTGAAAGCATCGTTAGAAATAACACATTTATCGGTAATTCCATTCAAGGTTATAGGGACTATAGGACAAATATACGTTATTATCTGAAACAATAGAATTACTTTTGTAGAGTAGTTGAAATATGTTGAATAGAGTAAAAGTCTAACAAGACAAAGAAGAAATGTGGAATCGTGTACTAAAATCCCTAGTTCCTTTGAATACAAATACCAATCTGAAATAAATTAAATATAATCAATGTTGAATACATGAAAATGAGTAGAGTACAAGTCTTACAAGACAATGAAGAAAGAAATGTAGCATCGTGTGTTAAAACCCTGAGCTCCTTTGAATACATATACCTAATTGAAATCGATCCACATCGTAAACATATTTAGATTAGGATTCTAACTGCTATTTTCTGCTCAGCTCATAGCGCGAAACGAGAATTTCCACCCAACCTTCCCGTCAGCGAAGATGCCTTAATTAAACTTTGCATTTTAATCTCGACCCTGGGCTTTTAATTAGCAGATCAAATAATTTGATTCCTTATCTAAATTTTTCGGGATGCAATCGAGAGCCGATCTAATCTCCGCTTCAATAGAAAACGGATAAATTTTCTCCTAAGCTCCGCTTGAATAAGATTAAAATATTATTTGCGGAGAGCCAAATCCTCACTCGAAACCGACAGCAATCATTAAATTGCTGTGCCGTATTAATGCGGCACTCGAGGAGAAATTCTCTAAAATCAACAATTTTATTTTATTTCATAGTATTTCTTCGCAAATTCATTTTTTAGGTTGTGTAGTTCGTAATAAGTTCATTGATTCCCCAATATCTCCATTTTAGTAGCAAGGTGACATCACGTTGCAGTTAATTTTCTAAAAGCTTCAAGTAGGGAAAAGATGATTACTTAAATTATAATTGAGATTAAATGAAATAAATTGCCTTTGCATACATCAAATATATGTGCCAAAATGTATTTATGGTTTTGAATCAGGGAAAGTATCACTAATGAATAATTTTTTACTACTCGATACCATCGATATAAATATAGGATCAATAAATAACCATACATTTTCAATAATTAAAAGTTTTTTGCACATTCCAAGTTTTAGCACCCTGCATCAACAAAAATATAGAAAGTATACTCACACGTTAATCGCAGATTAGTGTAAATGTTACGCCGCTGCCTACACCTAAAGCATCCGTGCCGTGGCCGTGCCGTAAATCCTGTAACACAGCCTGCGATCGTAGCTCAGGCGGCAGCAGGCTTCTCCTTCTCTTCCATTCAGGCGGCACGTCGGAATTTTCTTCTCGCAACGGGTCCAATTGCTCAGCATTTGCGACCGGCAATTGCCCCTCCCGCGCTCTTTTTAATGACACGCTGCATCGCCGCATTCAAATCATGTTTGAATTACAGCCCTTAGGCGAGCGCTGGCCGCTCCGCGCTCTGCTTGCCAAATATGCAAGCTGATGGGCAGTGAAGTGCAGTGCGAAGGGCGGATGTTCACAACTGCAAAAGTGCAACGCTGTAAAATTGCGCTAAATTTTTGTGCCAACGAAGGAAGGCTGACGATCAGCCGCCGTTGATTTGGGTTCAAACTTTACTGAGGAGTGGAAGTGAACTGCGTGCAGCGTGAAGCTGCGAAATGTTGCTAGGTGACGAGCGATTTTTACGGAGAATGCACGGGTAGTAACGAAAACTAGCATGAACACTGAAACGACAAATAGCATTCGATTAATGCATGACATATTAGAAAGAAGTGAAAGATACTAATGTCTATTTGACAGGGAAATGCAGGAAGTCACGGAACAAAAGTTTTTTTGAGAATTCTTTTCTGTCCTAAATTCCAAAATGTGTGATACGGTTAGAGTAGTGAAGGTTGGAAGAGCAACTTATTCTCATTCTAGAGGCCTCTGAGCAATCTAATCCAAGAGATTTACACGAGATAAATGTGATTCTCGGTATGCATGCTCCGCCTTCGATTCTTACCGATCAATTGCTTCACTTTATCCTTGCTCGTACATTTTTTGCATTCGTTTCTTTTTCCATGCGATCGAGTTTCCGTGTTCACTTCTTTTATTTCTTGGATTGTTTCCCCGACTCATTTTCTACGTTTTTCTATCATGTCGTGCGTCTTTAAGATTGTCTTTCATACCGTTGACGCCCGACGGCATGCTAATGGCCAGGGGCGCCGCAAGCCATGAGCTCGTGAGGGCGTGAGTGCAATTTCATGAGGGGTCCGCATGTGATGAAGCGATGCAATAAAACCCAGCGTCGTAACTCCCCTATCGGCTTACGGCGCGTGAGGCCTTGATGGCTTCCTCCGTCGCGGGGCGGGGAGGGGCTGTGGGTGAGAGGAGGATGAGTTTTACTGTGATGTGATGGTGGTATATGTGACGGTGGTGGTGATTGTTTTAAATTTGTAGGTAGTGTAATTGTTCTTGACATTATTCCACATTATTACAACGTTTAAACCACTGTAAATTTCAGCTTGATTAACATAATTCAAAATATTTTATTTTTAAACAGGTACAACAAACTCTTTTATTTAACCTATGATAAATATGACGACATTATCTCTGGCACGCCAAGCCTGCCACACGAGCAGTCTCTAGCTACGTCGCAAAGGTGGAAGCAAACAGTGCCATCTCTCAACATATGTGAATAGCAGATACATAACAAAAACAACATTTGTGCGGCCCAGCAGCGCCATCTGTCGCTAGTGGATGACTTGTTTTTCTTTTCAAAATGAACTCGGAAGCTGAGTTTGCTTACACTCTTCCCTACAGCTAATGCAGATTCGGACTTGCACAAGGACCAGGCTCTGAGTCAAAATTTGTTGCTGGCGTCAGACGGAAGTTACTCGTCTGAACAATGCTTTTTAGACGTACATTCTATGAACAAAAATACACGTCTTGACTATATACTTTGAAAAATCTACGGATTATGGACCTAATATTTAGATATCTATATTGAACATCTGTTGGAGCAATATGCAGAAGATGCAACAATCGAATACAAATGATAATCAAGCGCTATAAAAACTGTTACATAGTCGAACAAAACCATTGAGCGGTTTCTTATTGCTTATGCTATTTTCGCTGAAGTACACAAGCAGTATAAGAAAAATAATTTTGAAAAAGTAAATAAACTATAACAGGCATATTTTTTATTTATATCCATGTTTATACATGTACACTTGCTATAACTTGAGCCAAAATAACGACGACGTTACGACTGATGTCCATATTATCGTCTATAATGCATTACAGCTTCATCCGCGAGCTGAGAATCGAACATACGTAACTAGCGATGACTTGCCCAGCATTGACGGACTCTCACTATCACCACCGCAGCAGTAGGCTAGAGGTTATGTTTATGCTGGCCTATGACTCGAGGTGATAAAGCCTCTTTTATCGCTCACACCGCCCCACCAATCACATTCTAGGCCCCCCTCATAATCGCATCTTTTTACTCATCGCCCCATCCTTAAATTCATTCTCATTACAAATTTCCATGCTCATCTTTTCCCTCTTTCTACTACTTATTAATACCTAACTCTTCACTTCAACTCTTTTGCGAGTAATTTACCATACATGGTCACTTAAATTCTCCTTCCAAAAAGACTTATCGTGGGCCTCTATGTTTGAAACAACATTACCATGCCTCCAAAATCTTCAATCATCTGTCCATAACTTCGCACATAGCATCACCCCCTACCAAGCAAATACAAATTCAATCAGGTTACCTTAGACAATTAAAAAAATCTTGCTACTCCCGTCTTTTAAAATATGCGGGGAGAGCGTTAATTTGATTTAACGAGTAAAAACTTTCATTTAAATGCTGATATTTAAATGTCATGCTTGACATTTAAATATCAGCATTTAAATGAAAGTTTTGACTCGTTAAATCAAATTGACGCTCTCCCCGCATATTTTAAAAGACGGAAGTACCAATATTTTTTTAATGGTCTAAGGTAACCTGAGTGAATTGAATTAAATAGAATCTTAGATTGAAACTCCTTTCATTCGGATGTTTAAATTTGAAATATGCGAAGAAAATTACGTAGTTACCGTATTTAATTCATTCTTCAAGCCGGATTTACTATTTCAATA